TATTCTGCGCTTGCTGAGGGCGTGTAGAGAAGTACTGCTGTCTGTGATCCAGAGTAAGAGGATGTAATGCTGGCTTTGTTTCTTAAAACACATGCTCAGAATGTCTAGTTTGATCTTAAAAAACCAGGGTAAACAAAAACGAGTTGGGATCGCACTTCAGAGACACATTCGCGTACAAACCAAAGAATTTAATAGGAATACCCTTGCTTTCCGGCATGCTTCTCAACTTTGGACTCAGTATCGCAGTACCGGAAGTGCCAAGTTTAAATATAAATGTTCGTTCAAAATGCCAAATTTAAATATTAAAGGCCTTTTAAGATTGTGCTTCATATCGTATACCCAACAAACTCTATACGAAAAGCGTTTGTATTTATATCGAAGGATTCGCACTAACGAGGTTGCAATTGTGTAATAATCAATCAAGAGAAGTACACTCAAGAAAACATTTCATTCTTATCATATTTTAATTTACAAAGGAGTTGGAGTACTATTAAAGGGATGCGTTTGCTTACTAAACACTTAATATTTAATAACCAGCCTCCTCATCATTCACTTCGTCAGCGAAGTCGTCCGCATCGTCCTCTACGGTAGCATCCTGGTATTGCTGGTATTCTGATACCAAATCGTTCATGTTGGACTCGGCCTCTGTGAACTCCATCTCATCCATACCCTCACCAGTAAACCTGTAAATGTACAATGATAATGCAACAGATTAGTCTAGCCCTACGTTTATAGAATAAGTACACATAGTTACTACTGAACACGTCAACCTTTTTTTTTACTCCTTGTACAAGCTAAATAGACGTCCTGGACAAAAATTAAGAAGTAGAACGAGATCAAACGGGAGGGTCAAACACAAGTGGGAACAGACAAACCAATACCCAAACTTACACAAACATTTGCACCACAGTACAGTAACCAATAAATGCGTGCAACATACCAATGCAAGAAGGCTTTTCTTCTGAACATGGAGGTGAAGTGTTGACTGACACGCTTGAAGAGTTCCTGGATAGCTGTGCTGTTGCCGACAAAGGTCGCGGCCATCTTCAGACCCACCGGCGGCACATCACACACCGCCGTCTTGACATTCGAGGGGATCCATTCCACAAAGTACGCGCTATTCTTGTTCTGCACACCAAGCATCTGCTCCTCCACATCCTTCATGCTGACCTTGCCGCGGAACATGGCGGCTACCGTCAGGTATCGGCCCCGTCGCGGGTCGCAGGCGGCCATCATGTTGTTGGGATCGAACATCTGCGCCGTTAACTCCGCCACGGTTGTGGAGAGGTACTGAGACGCGCCCGGGGCCGTGAGGGGTGCGTACCCGGGCATGAAGAAGTGCAGGCGCGGGAACGGCACCATATTGACAGCCAGCTTACGCAGATCACTGTTGAGCTGACCCGGGAACCGCAGAGAGGTGGTGACACCGCTCATCACGTGGGATACGAGGTGGTTGAGTTCGCCGTAGTCGGGGTTGTTCTTCTTGAGCGTGCGAAAGCAGATGTCGTATAGAGCCTCGTTGTCAATGCAGAAGGTCTCGTCAGTGTTCTCGACGAGCTGGTGTACCGAGAGGGTGGCGTTGTAGGCCTCTACCACGACATCGGATACCTTGGGCGAGGGTACTACAGAGAAGGTGGCCATGATACGATCGGGATACTCTTCTCGGATCTTTGAGATCAGAAGTGTACCCATACCTGGAAAAGGAATGGGTGTGGGAGCGGTGAGTTTGGTTACATATGGACAATAAACGACAGACTACCGTATAGACCTCTAGGCGGTTGTGTGAAGCACCACAATAACTCAACGTTAGTTTACAACTACATAGGCATAAAAGTACGCTTTCTCAGAGACTGTCTTATATGCACATAATATACTGGGTTATATCACGTTCATATACATATCTCACGGCGGAATCAGGAAAGTCTTTGTCCACAAGGATACAGGCTTACTGATCGAGATACCAAAGGCACCCGCGGTTTGAGCCAAAGCTAGAGAATTTGAACTAACTCGTACTATAAATCATACGTCCAAACACGACCAAGGGGTTCATCAACAATCGCGAGTACCTTAGTATATTCAATCACACAACTACAACATACAAATATGTGCCTGGTCAATGTCGTCAACAAACAACACATAAACATGAGAAAGTAATACAATATATACAAGTTTTAGGCCAGCTCAGAAGCACGTTTCTCAACAAGATTTCTTCTGTGCAGATCTTGGTATAAATGTGTTGTGATCATCATACGAGGCCCTACTCGGCAAGTTAACACATTAGAAAAAGAACGTATATGCCACGCACATCAAAACATTTCCGTTAAGCTATAAGAAACCATATACACCAACTACACGAGTACAGTCAAACCATGAGGAACACTCCACAATAGAGGTAGAAGAAAAATCATACTAGAGACAAGTCCACCGGCGATATTATATACGTTGTCAACAGTGTAAACCACACTATATACGGCGCGAATATGAGTGTACAATGAGTAGACTAGCGTTCCAGCGGATGCCGTTTATAGCACTACTGCGCACACAACACGCTACACAGTTTCGCATCGTATTCGATAGACTAACATCAAACCGTAAAACAGGATTTGTACAGAAATCGAAAACGGCATGACCAGATTAAGGCCTTAAACCCCCCCCCCAATTTTCCCCCAAAGTACTGGCCACAAACCGTGGTGCAGTCAGACACAGTTAAGCAAAGCCAAAACGCACACTAATCCATTAACGGGACCATAGTAGTTTAAGATAAACCAACTTCATGGTACATCACTACCACAGCGCCTACATCGGGTTCAAGTAATACACTGGAGTATGAACTAACCCCTAAGGTACGTGCACTATACTTCCAATGCCAGACAATCTACAGGCTAAAACTCCAATGGTCTACATATCCACCCGTGTTAAAATATACCACGAACGTACCGGATCCGGTTCCACCGCCCAGGGAGTGGGTAAGCTGGAAACCCTGCAGCTGGTCACAGTTCTCGGCCTCTTTACGCACAATCTCAAGCACATCGTCTACCAACTCAGCACCCTCGGTGTAGTGTCCCTTGGCCCAATTGTTACCAGCGCCAGACTGTGCGAAGGTGAATGGTTAAACTCGATATAATTGCTATAACAGGTATGCTTCAAGGGGCACAGATAAGTAAAGCATATATAAAGACATGACTATAAATCTAATCACTGCACTATATAAATATATATATATATATATATATATATGTATGTATGTATATGTATATATCT